CTCATAACCACCCTACCTTGATCGACCATGGCGGAAGAAGATGTGCAAGCATTGGTGATTGACAACGGCTCCGGCATGTGCAAGGCTGGCTTTGCAGGGGATGATGCTCCGCGTGCTGTGTTTCCCTCCATCGTGGGCCGACCGAAGCATCCCGGGATCATGGTGGGGATGGACCAGAAGGACGCGTACGTGGGCGACGAGGCGCAGTCGAAGCGTGGTGTGTTGACGCTGAAATATCCAATCGAGCACGGTATTGTGACGAACTGGGACGATATGGAGAAGATTTGGCACCATACGTTCTACAACGAGCTGCGGGTGGCGCCCGAGGAGCATCCCGTTCTTCTCACGGAGGCGCCGATGAACCCCAAGGCCAATCGTGAACGGATGACGCAGATCATGTTTGAGACATTCAATGTGCCAGCGATGTACGTAAATATCCAGGCTGTGCTTTCGTTGTACGCCTCCGGGCGCACGACGGGCTGCGTGCTGGACTCTGGTGATGGCGTGAGCCACACGGTACCCATCTTCGAGGGGTACGCGCTGCCGCACGCGATCGTGCGTCTGGACCTGGCGGGGCGAGACCTGACAGAGTATTTGATGAAGATTCTGACGGAGCGAGGGTACTCGTTCACGACCACGGCGGAGCGCGAGATCGTGCGGGACATCAAGGAGAAGCTGACCTACGTGGCGTTGGACTTTGACCAGGAGCTGAAGGTGGCAGAGGAGTCCTCTAGCCTGGAGAAGAGCTACGAGCTGCCGGATGGTAACGTGATCGTGCTGGGCTCAGAGCGATTTCGTGCGCCGGAGGTGCTTTTCCAGCCCTCTTTTATCGGCAAGGAGGCGAGCGGCGTGCACGACTGCACGTTCCAGACGATCATGAAGTGCGACGTGGACATCCGCAAGGACCTGTACTCCAACATCGTCTTGTCGGGCGGGACGACCATGTTCCCGGGCATCGGAGAGCGCATGACCAAGGAGATCTCGGCCTTGGCGCCCCCCACCATGAAGGTGAAGGTCGTGGCCCCGCCCGAACGCAAGTACTCCGTCTGGATCGGCGGCTCTATCTTGTCTTCGCTCTCCACCTTCCAGAGCATGTGGATCTCCAAGGCCGAGTACGACGAGTCGGGGCCGTCCATCGTCCACCGCAAGTGCTTTT